GGGACACACAATGATAGAGAAATACAACGATAGAGACATACAGTGATAGGGACATACAATGATAGAGACACACAATGATATAGACACACAATGATAGAGACATACAGTGATAGGGACACACAATGATAGAGAAATACAACGATAGAGACATACAGTGATAGGGACATACAATGATAGAGACATACAATGATAGAGGCATGCAGTGATAGGGACACACAAAGATAGAGACAGACAATGATAGAGACACACAGTGATGGAGACATACAGTGAAATGGACATACAATGTACAATGATATAGACATACAGTGATAGGGACATACAGTGATAGAGACACACAATGATAGAGACACACAGTGATGGGGACATACAATGATAGAGACATACAATGATAGGGACACACAATGATAGAGACACACAGTGATAGGCACATACAATGATAGAGACACACAATGATATAGACACGCAATGATAGAAACATACAGTGATAGAGACATACAGTGATAGGGACACACAATGATAGAGACATGATAGGGAAACACAATGATAGAGACACACAATGATAGAGACATACAAAGATAGGGACATACAGTGATAGAGACATACAATGATAGAGACATACAGTGATATAGACATACAATGATAGGGACATACAGTGATAGGGACATACAGTGATAGAGACATACAATGATAGAGATATACAGTGATAGAGACATTCAATGATAGGGACATACAGTGATAGGGACACACAATGATAGAGACATACAATGATAGAGACATACAGTGATAGAGACACACAACGATAGAGACACACAATGATAGAGACATACAATGATAGGGACATCCAATGATAGGGACATGCAATGATAGTGACATACAGTGATAGTGACATACAATGATAGAGACACACAATGATAGAACCATACAATGACAGAGACATACAATGATAGAGACACACAATGATAGAGACACACAATGATAGAGACATACAGTGATAGGGACATGCAATGATAGTGACATACAGTGATAGTGACATACAATGATAGAGACACACAATGATAGAGACATACAATGATAGAGACATACAATGATAGAGACACACAATGATAGGGACATGCAATGATGGTGACATACAGTGATAGTGACATACAATGATAGAGACACACAATGATAGAGACATACAATGATAGAGACACACAAGACATACAATGATAGAGACATACAATGATAGAGACATACAATGATAGAGACATACAATGATACGGACAGACAATGAAAGAGACACACAATGATAGAGACATGCAGTGATAGAGACAAACAGTGACACGGACAGACAATGAAAGAGACACACAATGATAGAGACATACAATGATAGAGACACACAATGATAGAGACATACAGTGATAGAGACACACAATGATAGGGACACACAATGATAGAGAATACAAACACAAGGACATAAAATGATAGAGACTTACAAATACAGGGGCATACCATGATAGGGACACACAAACACAGGGACATTCAATGACAGACACAAACACAAACAGGGACATACAATGATGCGGTCACATAGTGATAGGGACATACTTTGTGATTCTGGTGTGTTAGCGGTTACAATCTAGTGTGTACACTTTGTGATTTTGGTGTGTTAGCTGTAATAAACTTGTTTGTACACTTTGTGATTCTGGTGTGTTAGCTGTAATAAACTAGTATGTACAGTTGGTGATGCTGGTGTGTTAGCTGTAATAAACTAGTGTGTACACTTTGTGATTCTGGTGTGTTAGCTATAATAATCTAGTGTGTACACTTTGTAAATCTGGTGTGTTAGCTGTAATAAACTAGTGTGTACACTTTGTGATTCTGGTGTGTTAGCTGTAATAAACTAGTGTGTACACTTTGTGATTCTGGTGTGTTGGTTGGATGTAACTAGTATGTACACATTGTGATTCTGGTGTGTTAGCTGTAATAAACCAGTGTGTACACTTTGTGATTCTGGTGTTATAAGCTTAGAGTGTTAACTTTGTGATTATGTGTGTAATAATCTAATTTGTTAACTGTAATTATATGGCGTGTATTCTGTAATTATCAAATACTGTACACCGTAAGTAACTTGCTCACTGAACGTCATTGCATTCTGAAATATACTTCCAGTCTTTCTAATCAGTGACCTTACCACCTTGACCTTGTTTCAGAAGCCCAGATGGGGGCAACGCCCTTCTTTGTGACAAGTCTGTTGCTAGCGTTATGTTCCGGTCTGTTCAGCGTGATGGGTAACCTCCAATGCAACGTCAAAGCCATAATCTCCGCTGTGCTTTCCATAATAGAAGGTCAGTAACGAAGCTCTTAACAACGTTTGACTTGTTTCTATGGACAGTGCACATGTTTGTTTGGTTGTTTGTTTGTTTGTTTATGTCCTCACAATAGCCGAGGCCATACGAAGACTGCCTAGATAGAAATGGCCGAAAGGTAAGAGTGGGTAAGAGAGGAAGGACAGCCCCGAATGGCAATGGGGGCAGCAGACCGAATTACAACGGGGGCAGCAGACCGAAGTACAACGGGTGCAGCAGACCGAATTACAATGGGGGCAGCAGCCCGAATTACAATGGGGGCAGCAGACCGAATCACAACGGGGGCAGCAGACCGAAACACAATGGGTGCAGCAGACCGAATTACAATGGGGAAAGCAGACCGAATTACAACGGGTGCAGCAGACCGAATCACAATTGGGGCAGCAGACCGAATTACAATGGGGGCAGCGGACCGAATTACAATGGGGGTAGCGGACCGAATAACAATGGGGGCAGCGGACCAATCACAATTGGGGCAGCAGACGGAATTACAATGGGGGCAGCATACCTAATTACAACGGGGGCAGCAGACCGAATTACAATGGGGGCAGCAGACCGAATTACAATGGGGGTAGCAGACCGAATAACAATGGGGGCAGCAGACCAATCACAATTGGGGCAGCAGACAGAATTACAATGGGGGCAGCATACCTGATTACAACGGGGGCAGCAGACCAAATCACAACGGGGGCAGCAGACCGAATCACAACAGGGGCAGCAGACCGAATAACAATGGGGCCAGCAGACCGAATCACAATGGGAACAGCAGACCGAAACACAATGGGGGCAGGAGACCGAATCACAATGGGGGCAGCATACCAAATCACAATTGGGGACAGCAGACCGAATAACAATGGGGGCAGCAGACCGAATTACAATGGGGGCAGCAGACCGAATAACAATGGGGGCAGCAGACCGAATTACAATGGGGGCAGCATACCTAATTACAACGGGGGCAGCAGACCAAATCACAATGGGGACAGCAGACCGAATGTCAATGGGGACAGCAGACCGATTTTACAATGGGGGCAGCAGACCGAATTTAAATTGGGGCAGCAGACCGAATTACAATGGGGACAGCAGATCGAATTACAATGGGGACAGCAGACCGGATTACAACAGGGACAGCAGATCGAATTACAATGGGGGCAGCATATCTAATTTCAACGGGGGCAGCAGACCGAATTACAATGGGGGCAGCAGACCGAATTACAATGGGGGCAGCAGACCGAATTACAACGGGGGCAGCAGACCGAATTACAATGGGGGCAGCAGACCGAATTACAATGGGGACAGCAGATCGAATTACAATGGGGGCAGCAAACGGAATTACAATGGGGGCAGCAGATCGAATTACAATGGGGGCAGCAGACCGAATTACAAAGGGGGCAGCAGACCGAATCACAATGGGAACACTAGACCGAATTACAATGGGGGCAGCAGACCGAATTTAAATTGGGGCAGCAGACCGAATAACAATGGGGACAGCAGACCGAATTACAATGGGGAGAGCAGATCGAATTACAATGGGGGCAGCATACCTAATTACAACGGGGGCAGCAGACAAAATTACAATGGGGGCCGCAGACCGAATAACAATTGGGGCAGCAGAACGAATTGCAACGGGGGCAGCAGACCGAATTACAATGGGGGCAGCAGACCGAATTACAATGGGGACAGCAGATCGAATTACAATGGGGACAGCAGACCGAATTACAATGAGGACAGCAGATCGAATTACAATGGGGGCAGCATACCGTATTACAACGGGGGCAGCAAACCGAATTACAATGGGGCAGCAGATCGAATTACAATGGGGGCAGCAAACGGAATTACAATGGGGGCAGCTGATCGAATTACAATGGGGGCAGCAGACCGAATTACAATGGAGGCAGCAGACCGAATCACAATTGGTGCAGCAGACCAAAACACAATGAGGGCAGCAGAACGAATTACAATGGGGGCAGCAGACCGAATCACAATGGGGGCAGCAGACCGAAACACAATGGGGGCAGCAGAACGAATTTCAACGGGGGCAGCAGATCGAATTACAATGGGGGCAGCAGACCGAATCACAATGGGGGCAGCAGACCGAAACACAATGGGGGCAGCAGAATGAAACACAATGGGGGCAGCAGACCGAATCACAATGGGGACAGCAGACGGAATCACAATGGGGCAGCAGACCGAATTACAACGGGGGCAGCAGACCGAATTACAACGGGGGCAGCAGACCGAATTACAACGGGAGCAGCAAACCGAATTACAATTGGGACAGCAGACGGAATCACAATGGGAGCAGCAAACCGAATTACAAAGGGGGCAGCAGACCGAATTACAACGGGGGCAGCAGAACGAATTAAAATTGGGGCAGCAGACCGAATTTAAATTAGGGCAGCAGACCGAATTACAATGGCAACAGCAGACCGAATCACAACGGGGGCAGCAGACCGAAACACATTGGGGGCAGCAGAACGAATTACAACGGGGGCAGAAGACCGAATCACAATGGGAACAGCAGACCAATTTACAAAGGGGGCAGCAGACCGAATCACAACGGGGGCAGGAGACCGAATTTAAATTGGGGCAGCAGACCGAATCACAATGGGGGCAGCAGACCGAATTTAATTTGGGGCAGCAGACCGAATCACAATGGGAACAGCATACCGAAAAACAATACAACGGGGGCAGCAGACCGAATTACAATGGGGGCAGCAGACCGAATTTAAATTGGGGCAGCAGACCGAATTACAATGGCAACAGCAGACCGAATCACAACGGGGGCAGCAGACGGAAACACAATGGGGGAAGCAGAACGAATTACAACGGGGGCAGAAGACCGAATCACAATGGGAACAGCAGACCAATTTACAAAGGGGGCAGCAGACCGAATCACAACGGGGGCAGGAGACCGAATTTAAATTGGGGCAGCAGACCGAATCACAATGGGGGCAGCAGAACGAATTAAAATTGGGGCAGCAGACCGAATTTAAATTGGGGCAGCAGACCGAATCACAATGGGGGCAGCAGAACGAATTAAAATTGGGGCAGCAGACCGAATTTAAATTGGGGCAGCAGACCGAATTACAATGGGAACAGCAGACCGAATCACAACGGGGGCAGCAGACCGAATCACAATGGGGGCAGCAGAACGAATTAAAATTGGGGCAGCAGACCGAATTTAAATTAGGGCAGCAGACCGAATTACAATGGCAACAGCAGACCGAATCACAACGGGGGCAGCAGACGGAAACACAATGGGGGAAGCAGAACGAATTACAACGGGGGCAGAAGACCGAATCACAATGGGAACAGCAGACCAATTTACAAAGGGGGCAGCAGACCGAATCACAACGGGGGCAGGAGACCGAATTTAAATTGGGGCAGCAGACCGAATTACAATGGCAACAGCAGACCGAATCACAACGGGGGCAGCAGACGGAAACACAATGGGGGAAGCAGAACGAATTACAACGGGGGCAGAAGACCGAATCACAATGGGAACAGCAGACCAATATACAAAGGGGGCAGCAGACCGAATCACAACGGGGGCAGGAGACCGAATTTAAATTGGGGCAGCAGACCGAATTACAATGGGAACAGCAGACCGAATCACAACGGGGGCAGCAGACGGAAACACAATGGGGGAAGCAGAACGAATTACAACGGGGGCAGAAGACCGAATCACAATGGGAACAGCAGACCAATATACAAAGGGGGCAGCAGACCGAATCACAACGGGGGCAGGAGACCGAATTTAAATTGGGGCAGCAGACCGAATTACAATGGCAACAGCAGACCGAATCACAACGGGGGCAGCAGACCGAAACACATTGGGGGCAGCAGAACGAATTACAACGGGGGCAGCAGACCGAATTTAAATTGGGGCAGCAGACCGAATCACAATGGGGGCAGCAGACGGAATCACAATTGGGGGGGGGGGGGAGTAGACCGAATTACAATGGGGGCAGCAGACGGAATCAGAATGGGGGCAGCAGACCGTATAACTATGATGGCAGCAGATCAATTTTAGGGGCTTAGTAGAAGACACGAAAAAATCGCCAATCTGCAGGGGATCTACATTAGTCGTCCCTCACGACTAGTAGTAGAGCACAACTACATTGTATTCTTTCCCGAACCTGCACAGGGGTACATCACAATGGGGGCAGCAGACCGAAACACAATGGGGGCAGCAGAACGAATTACAACGGGGGCAGCAGACCGAATTTAAATTGGGGCAGCAGACCGAATCACAATGGGGGCAGCAGAACGAATTAAAATTGGGGCAGCAGACCGAATTTAAATTGGGGCAGCAGACCGAATTACAATGGGAACAGCAGACCGAATCACAACGGGGGCAGCAGACCGAATCACAATGGGGGCAGCAGAACGAATTAAAATTGGGGCAGCAGACCGAATTTAAATTGGGGCAGCAGACCGAATTACAATGGGAACAGCAGACCGAATCACAACGGGGGCAGCAGACCGAAACACATTGGGGGCAGCAGAACGAATTACAACGGGGGCAGCAGACCGAATTTAAATTGGGGCAGCAGACCGAATTACAATGGCAACAGCAGACCGAATCACAACGGGGGCAGCAGACGGAAACACAATGGGGGCAGCAGAACGAATTACAACGGGGGCAGCAGACCGAATTTAAATTGGGGCAGCAGACCGAATCACAATGGGGGCAGCAGACGGAATCACAATTGGGGGGGGGGGGGAGTAGACCGAATTACAATGGGGGCAGCAGACCGTATAACTATGATGGCAGCAGATCAATTTTAGGGTCTTAGTAGAAGATACGAAAAAATCGCCAATCTGCAGGGGATCTACATTAGTCGTCCCTCACGACAAGTAGTAGAGCACAACTACATTGTATTCTTTCCCGAACCTGCACAGTGGTACATGTTTGTAACCTATCATATACATTTGCTCCCGGGACTCCATTACGGGAAGAGACGTTCTATATGATCCCTGCTAATAATTTATCTTTTCTATGTTGTAGGATTTGTGCGTGATACTCTTTATATACATCAATTGACATTGTTCAGCATATCAATGAAAGTTTTCCGTAGTTAACTAACAGCATAATATATACAAAAACATGTTTTCCTCGTCCGGGTGATATTTACTCCGCAAAAGAGATTTTCAAATACCGAATGACCACAAGTGACATTTCAAGGTAAAGGTACCTATCTTATTTGGTGGTAAGGTCAAAGATTCCTATCATAAGTAAAAGTCACTCTCCGGTATTAAGGTAAAGGTTACTATCCCAAGGTCAAGGTCAATCTCCGGTGTTAAGGAAAAGGTTATTATCCCAAGGTCAGAGTCACTCTTTGGTGTTAAAGAAAAGCTTCCTATTCCATGTTCAAAGTCACCCCCCGGTGATAAGGATAAGGTTCCTATTCCAAGACCAAAATCCGTAAGTCTTCGGTGTTAAGGTAAAGGTTTCTATCCCAAGGTCGGTTAATCTCCGATGTGGGGTAAAAACGTCCCTATACCAAGATGTAAATCCCTATTCAGTGTGGGGTGAGGGATATGGTACCCATTCAGTGTAGGGTGAGGGATATGGTACCCATCCAGTGTGGGGTGAGGGATATGGTACCCATCCAGTGTGGGGGGAGGTATATGGTACCCATTCAGTGTGGGGTGAAGTATATGGTACCCATTCAGTGTGGGTGAGGGATATGGTACCCATTCAGTGTAGGGGGAGGGATATGGTACCCATCCAGTGTGGGGTGGGGGATATGGTACCCATTCAGTGTAGGGCGAGGGATATGGTACCCATCCAGTGTGGGGTGAGGGATATGGTACCCATTCAGTGTGGGGGGAGGGATATGGTACCCATTCAGTGTGGGGTGAAGTATATGGTACCCATTCAGTGTGGGGTGAAGTATATGGTACCCATTCAGTGTGGGGTGAGGGATACGGTACCTATTCAGTGTGGGATGAGAGATATGGTAAATATTCAGTGTCGGGTGAGATATATTGCACCCATTCAGTGTGGGGTGAGGTATATGGTCCCCATTCAGTGTGGGGTGAGGGATACGGTACCCATTCAGTGCGGGGTGAGGGATATGGTACCTATTCAGTTTGGAATGAGAGATATGGTAAATATTCAGTGTCGGGGGAGATATATTGCACCCATTCAGTGTGGGGTGAGGGATATGGCACCCATTCAGTGTGGGGTGAGGGATATGGCACCCATTCAGTGTGGGGTGAGGGATATGGCACCCATTCAGTGTGGGGTGAGGGATATGGTGCCCATTCAGTGTAGGGTGAGGGATATGGGACCCATCCAGTGTGGGGTGAGGTATATGGTAACCATTCAGTGTGGGGTGAGGTATATGGTCCCCATTCAGTGTGGGGTGAGGTATATGGTACCCATTCAGTGTAGGGTGAGGTATATGGTACCCATCCAGTGTGGGGTGAGGTATATGGTCCCCATTCAGTGTGGGGTGAGGTATATGGTACCCATCCAGTGTGGGGTGAGGGATATGGTACCCATTCAGGGTGGGGTGAGGGATATGGTACCCATTCAGTGTAGGGTGAGGGATATGGTACCCATTCAGTGTGGGGTGAGGTATATGGTACCTATTCAGTTTGGAATGAGAGATATGGTAAATATTCAGTGTCGGGTGAGATATATTGCACCCATTCAGTGTGGGGTGAGGTATATGGTACCTTTTCAGTGTGGGGTGAGGTATATGGTACCTTTTCAGTGTGAGTGAGGGATATGGTACCCATTCAGTGTGGGGTGAGGGATATGGTACCTATTCAGTTTGGAATGAGAGATATGGTAAATATTCAGTGTGAGGGAGGGATATGGTACCCATTCAGTGTGGGGTGAGGGATATGGTACCTATTCAGTGTGAGTGAGGGATATGGTACCCATTCAGTGTGGGGTGACGGATATGGCATCTATTCAGTGTTGGGTGAGGGATATTGTACCTATTCAGTGTGGGGTGAGTGATACGGTACCTATTCAGTGTG